TAAAAAGCAATGGTCAGATCCAAAGTTGGCTGGAAGTGAAGGGAAGAAGCCCCTTGATCCCCATGAGCTTCAGTTCAGGCCGGTAATGAGTTGTTTGTGTTTGACTGTAATCAATGTTATTTCTGCTACCTTTTTACATAACAGACAACCTTTTGCTTTTAGGCTCTTAGACCCAGAACTTCAAAATAGTAGGTCAATCTAAATGGAGTAGGTAACCACATGGAAAGAGTTGAGCAGTTAATTAGGAATTTGTATTTTTAAGCACAGCCATGATCATTTTCTTACAGAAACTCGGAAACTTTTCTTGTTTCTAGGCCAGCAGCTGTAGTTTCAGGAACAATTAGTTCTCCCAGCTCAGCTAATGTTAGTTATTCAGGATGTAAGCTTAAAAAAAATCCACCGGGGTTCTTCAGAAAGAGCTTGTCATCAAGCTATTCAAAGTAAGGAAAATATGCAGTTAACTCTTTTGGCCCAGAGACAAACCATAGGTAATGACCAAAGTGTCACTTGATGCTCTGAGTTAGAGTAGAATGGGCTCACTTTTCTCATATGCCCCTGTTGTTTGGCTTCAAACCAAGTTTCTCTCTTGCAAGTTAGGCTTTATGAGAGGAGCTGTGACATGGCACTGGCAAAGCTCATTTGAGATGAGGTCTTGAACTACTGACTGCAACCGTTGTGTGCTCTGGTGGGATCCAGTGACAAGAGGAGAATTTCCACTGCTGCTTACGACTGGTTTAACCACCACACTGCTAGTACCTAGGGGCTTTGCCGTGCTTCTCTAAACATATGGGTCCAGATGGGACCTCATTTTACACCCACTGGAGCTGCAGACAACCTTGTTGGCTTCAGGATGTGTTTTGCAAAGTAAAGCCAAAAAGCTTGCAAGGGCTGTGCAGACCTGCTGCAGCTCTGGGCATTTGTGTGGACAATTAGGTTTTCTCCAGTCTCCGCAAATGAGCTTGGAATCTTGCCAAGATAAATCGGTTTATAACTTCTCAGATAACTCCTGCTTGTAGTTATTCTGGAAACATTGTATGAACAGAGATGGTTGAGGCTACCAGGATGGGAGCTCAGTTCTGGTCAGAGGCAGGAGCTGGCAGATCATGCAGAGAAGCAGGAGCAGTGGAGGAAGGAGCTGGCTGACACCTCTGAGCTGTCAGATGAGTTTGGCTCCTGCTTGCCCAGCATCTCAGTGAGTGGGTATGGGTGAAGACTCAATGGTGAGTTGGACAACTAAGCAAATTTTCATTCACTTGGAGCTTTATATGGCAAGCCAGGTCCATTGTTTTAGATTTTACTAAGGAAATGACATATCCTTCCTCCCTGAATCCTTTCTCCAGGCTCTCTGAGGCACTAACAGGCACACAGTGTGAGCATCCTTATCTCTGGAGTGGCAAAAAGAAAGAAAAAAACCCTTTCTCATACTAACAGCTTTTACAATTACATATTTATTCACTGAACACAGGGCATGATACCATTCTTTCTTTTCTATCCTGCTCTGTCCAAACATCTGTGTTTTGTGAAAAGAACGTGAGATTCTTCTACAGTTGTACAGTTTAACGCAGTAGAGATGCTGGGTGGTATTTGTAGTGCATAAGGATCTGAGAATGTGAAATTATGCAGGCCAGAAAGAGATGTGTGTGCAGGGACACCTGTGCCTCATGGTCTCCAGCTTTTACAGCCAAGGGCTGTACCTCACTCTGGCTGTTTTTATTCAAGCAGAATTGAGCTTGCTTCCTGTAGTGCCCAAATAAGAGAAAATCTGAGTCACAGTCCTAAGTGGCAAAGGCATGCTTGTAGTTCGAGGGACTGGAGTTGGCAAATACAGAGCCTTGTAGGAAACAGTACATTTGAACCTTTTAGACTAAAGCAATTCAATTTTCAACAAAAGAAACGAGCTCCTAATAACAGGGATGATTGCTAAGGTTGCTCAGTTGATTCCAGGGCATCAAGCTGTGTGCTTGGAGGTACTGCTTGCTGCATGCAGGATGATGCTGGCAGCACCTGAACCCAACACTCCTCTCACAGTTCATCTCTGTGGAGCATGGGTTGGGTCCTCAACTGGCTCTACCTTCCTCAGCAACTGAGCAGCAGCTGTGATCAGCTGGCAGTGGTTCACTCAGGCTGACTCTGGATGTTGTATTCTTTCCATCTGGGATGCAGAGCTCCCAGCACTGCTGGTTCATATCTTGGGCACCATTTGGCTCTCTGCATAGGTCTACATTTAAAATCCATTCAGGGAAGGAGACAGATGATCTTATCTGGGGCAGTGAGTGCTCTTGGAAACACCCGAGTTCTTTTGGTTGATCAAGAAATTACCTCAAAGCAGATGTTTTATTTGGAAAAATTCAGACTGACCGTGAGTCTAACAAAACAACAGAGGCCTGAAAACAGGGTTGCAATGGAAACTGCCAGGAAACTGCCATGATGAACGAGGAATTAGACCGAGTGTGTAACGTGTGCATGCATATAACAACTACCTTTTGTCAGGGGAAGCCTTTTTTCATCCTGCTTTCCCATGAAAGGCTTTTTATTCTTGCTATGAAAAAAAAGCTTGAGTCCATGCTTATTTATCTCATCCCTTTAACCCTAAAAAATTATCTGCCTAACAAAAGTCTCCCATTTCTCAGTAGAAGGGGCATCAGGCTATAATGAAAAAAAATTATGTGAGAAATATTCCAAGTTATAAGAATGTCTCCATTGTGCCAAGAAGAGTGTGACTGTGGAGAATAAAGGCCATCTTGGTAATAAAACTAGCTCTCCAGCTACTTAGAGGTCTTGGAAAGTTATACTTGGTAACTACTGGAGAGGTGCTAACTTAGAGGCTGGCAGGATTTTAAAGGAAGCTTTGGTCTTTATGGGCTTAAATGTAAAAACTGAAACAGCAGACTAAAATAAGTCACTCAAAAATGGTGAATGGTGAATCGGGAGCCTTTAGTTTCTTCAAGTGCCAGAAGAACACACTTCACATGCCTGACAATATTTAGGGCTGTCTTGCTGTAGAAATGTAAAGGAGCAAAGTGGCAACAGACGATTATGATACTTGAAGTAATTTCCTCCTCTTTTGGGTTCTTATTCTGGTTGTCAGCCAGGAAATGCTGCTGCTTGCCTGCAAGGCAGGAGGTTGTAAAGCTGTATTTTGCTAGACTAATTCTGTTAGAACAGTGACAAATATATACCTAATTCATGTCCATGTGTGTTTCAGTGAAATTCTGCTTATATTTTAAGGTTTTTTTATAGCATATTTTATTATCTATCATATTTTATTATCTACCTTTATTTAAAATAACAGTAAAAATCCATACTTTGTAATCAATTTAAAAAACATTTCGTTCCGATTTACCAGTAGAGGGAGGTGGTGTTCTTGAAGTACAACCTCAACTTGCTACAGTTATTTTCGTAACACAGCCTGGTTGCCTAATTGTTTGTAAACTCCATTGCAAATCCTGACTTGGCCTGTAGAATATCTTGAAATCCTTGCAAATACAATCATTGGCAATGATGACATTTTTGGAATACCTTTATAATAGTGCTGCAGGAGTTCTGGAAAAACTCCTGTGCCCAACAGGCAATTAGTCAGGTGGTGAAAGCAGTAAATGTGTTGTAACGTGAGCTTACGCCTTTCGTTACATCTACACATCCAGTTCTGTACGTGTGCCATTTGATGGAAGGCCATGGGTGCAATTCTCCCCCTTGGTACAGGAGGTCTGTACTATATTGTGTTGCATGCCTCGGATCTGGGAGGCTCTGCCTTCTCTTGTAGTTGCAGGGAAACAATCTTTTTGGAAACCTAACTCCTGTGGTCTTGGAGTAATGATTTCAAAAAGGACCTTCAGGTGACAAGAGTGATATTCTTTCTAAAGTCCTGACTCAAGAGTTTAAATTAAAACTCAGAAGCAAACAGATCTCTGTAAGTAAAGCAGTGGAGCCACACAGAGTAGCATAGGGCTGCTACTGAATAAGTGGCATTCATCATCCCCAGGCCAGGTGTGGGGGTCTGCTGCACAGATGTCCCTGGATGAACTGCTCACCTCTGACTCCCTCTATTAGCAATAAATTAAGGCTGAGCTGTCACTCATGGACTGGAAAAGGAGCTTAAAGTGCTTAGGCAGGCTGGGGACATGTGTGGCCGGTGGAGTTATTTGAATTTTTGGTATGATGGAGGCCTTGCTGCCTCATGCACCATCTTTAACATAAAGTCAAGTTTGCATGATTACATGACTCTGGGCAAAAATAGTTCTGATTTGTGGAGAGTTAGCAGGGATTTCAGGTGTGCAGAAGCTGAAAAATTCAAGTAGAGGATTTACCGATTTTCATGAAGCTGAGCTTGAAAAATTACCTTTATGGTGTGGTTCTTTTGTTTACAGTGCGTGACAGTACTGCCCTTGTTTTCATAAGGAAATACATTAGGTTGTTCAGTAGATATTTAATATCTTAAAATAGCACTCTGATACAGGTTAACGAGAAGCATGTTTCTTAGTAGCTGTTTAGACATGGTGTAGATATTTCTAAACCCGACAACATTTGGACTGCAATTAAAAACAAGAAGTGATTCCGAGTACAGGTTCTTTGTAGTCAAGAGAATGCCAACAAAATACCTTGCAAATAATAAGGAAAAAGGTAGCTGGTGGTAGAAACTGAGCTATCAAACCTTCTGAAAGAGACTAGCAAAACTCACATAACTTCACAATGGAAAAAAAAACCAAAATACTGAGTATTTTTTCTTTCAAGGCTATCTCTACAGCAAATAACAGGTGTTTTGTATTTTGCTGGTGTTTCCCTCCCTACAAACATTTGAGGCAGAAAGAGATGCATAATCCCCTGTTAGTGCCAGGTGATCTTGAGGTATAGAGGAAGGAGAATAATGATCTTAAGGAAGGTGAAATTTAGGTCTGTGTTCCTCACCATTTCTGCCACAGATTTCCTATGTGACAAGGAAGTCACACAGCAAGTCATTTAGTCCTTCTCTGCTTTCATTTGCCATTAATATGAAGGGGACCATGGAGCTCAAGGTTATGGAGTGTACAGATTTTGTAAAGACATGTTGAATTGAAATGCATTTTACTTTGTGCTCACAAGTGCTTAGTCTAAAATGCAGAGAGTAAAGATTGATAAGGGGATCAAGAGTGCCTTGTCCAGTGGCTACAGGCTCTATACTTGTGAAAATTCTGTTTCTCCACCCATCATTTTATCTACTCTTTTATTTATTTATTTTTTTCCCAAGTAAACATGGAAGCAGCAGAGCAGGTCCTAACTTGGTCCTGCTCTTGATGCATTATTGTATTTATAAAGACAGTAAGTCTGCTTCTAAGCCAAGAAACAAAACTTTTGGCCCCTGGCTTTTGCTTCTATGTCATGATCACAGGATGACCTGTTTTATAAAACAAATGTTTTATAACCAAAAGCAAAGTGATTTCATCTTGCAGATGAGAGATGATTCAGTGCTATAGCAGGGTGAAATGGTCTCTTGGCTCAGGCACAGGGTTTATTAAACAAACTACTCCAGTTGCTACAGCTACTTACTGCTTGTGTCTTGCTCTTTTTCACTATTATCTGATATTCTGAAACATGTTGAACTGTGAATCAAACTGACATCTATATATAAGCAAACTTATGTGTAGCAGAGAAAGGAGATTGAAACTTGCAAAATATTATCTTCGAGAGACTTCTGGCTTCTTTACAGTTCTTAATATGTGGCATCTCACAGATGTCTGTTTCTTACAATTTTTACAGTAAAAGCTGTCTATCATCTAGAAATGTTTCCGGAACACATCGAATCACTAACATTCACCTGTCTGCTCAGAGGTAGCTGTAAGGCATGAACTGCCAAAGCCCTTAAAACTCCAGCATCGCTGTGCTCATGATACAGCCTGAGTTGAAAAAGGACGCCGTGACCAGAAGATACTGAATGGTCAGAATTCAGGCAGACATTGTAGGTGTGAGCAGCTCTAAGTACAGTTCTGGGTCCAGCTTATATCTGTTCACTGATAGCTGGAGGGTAGCAGTAGGGAATATAGCCCTTAGCTTGATTGTAGATCCAAACAAACCTTTTGGAAAAGAGGAGATCAGAAAGCTGCAGGTTTTTGGAATCTGGATTACCTAATAAAAGCATTGATTCCTGCAGAGAGGTGATCATGCCAGAATCCCAGGTTTCTTTTATTAACAAAAGCAGGTGGTTTCCAGTCATATGGATTTGGGAAGAAACTTACAATATGTGACCACTCTGAAGATTCAGAAGCTCGAAGCCCAGCAAAAGTTCCATACATGCCATTTTGATCCTAAGCCATAGGTTTTGGATTGTTGGCAAAGGTAAAGTATCTCACAGGAAGATGTGAATCTCCTGCGACTAAAACACTGAGAGACCTCGAGATCATTGGGAATAAAGGCTATCTTCTTCTGTCTGGAGAAAAGCTTTTAACTCCATCAGGCAAAATGCTGTGGTCACAGAGAGGAAAGGCAAGGCGAACACTAAAAGCAAGTGCTCTAAATGTGAGACCAGCTGCACGGCTGAAAAAATACAAGGCACTGCCTGGAAAAATGTCAGTGTTTACTTGATCACTTTGGAGTTTCAACTCTCATCGTATAATGGAGCTCACATGACAAAATCTACCCCCAAAAGGAATGCTGGGCTTTTCATGGTCTTTGCAGATGAATGCGGAGATTTTGCCACGTGTAACTGAAGATTAATCTATCAGTCCTCTCTTTTCTGCTCGTTTGTCTTTCCTTGCAGGTCTCTTAGCAGCAGCTCCAGTGAGCTGCCTTGCCTGGTTTCAGACTCCTCAGCATACCTGCTAATTCCTGGTGTAGCATTCCTCTCCTCAGATGGCATTTTAACCCTGTCCTTCCCCAAACCAGCACAGGTTCTGCCTGCATGCTACTTCAAAGTACAGAATTTGAGACTCGACACGTCATTTTGTGTTTTAGAGCAGTGAATGGCTTTGATAAATATGAAGTTGTACCTCTCACAGGCAGGACTAGAGTGTCAATATATATAAAATGCAAAGACAGGACTAAAGACTGACTAAGAAAACACACTGTCTGTGAACTGGAGAGATCTTGCTATACAATACATACAGTTCTCACAGAGAGAGCCAAAACCAGATGCCCAAAACAAACAGCAATGATTCCCTCCTTTTCCACAACAATTAATCAAGCTCAAACAAAGAAAAGAGAAAAGAAGGGATGGGACTTTGAGGAGGAGTGGGAATAAAAGCTTTAAATGCATATGGAGTTCCAGTGGAAAAAAAATATTGTCAAATGTCTGTGGACAAAGCAGTTCAGAGTATCTGGGATATGTGCAGAACTTGCTGACCAGAAAAGAGGTGTCGTGAGAAAGAGCTCTGGTAGATGCAGCCTGCTGAGAGTGGTCCATGGGATCCCAGGAGAAGAATCTGTTTTGGTAGCAGCAGTTGTAGCATCAGCTTTAAAAACAATCATCTTGATATTCTCCTTCAGACAGGAACTTCAGTTTTCACAGTGGATTCTTGTTTACTGTGGGTGAGGCTGAAACCAGCAGCTCTCTCTTCATTAGCAGCCATTGGGCAGTAATCAATTTATCTGCAAATTATAAAATAGAGCAGATTCAGACAATAGCCCAAAGGGTGAAAAGTACTTGATTTTCTTCCCAGTCTTCTAAACTAGTATATTTTTCCCCAAAAGTTGTATAGTTTTGATATATGAGACAAGAAGATGAGACAAGAGTGAAAGAGTTAAATGATGTAACTCTTTACTCCACCTGATCTAACAATTTACAGCTATCCAGGATAAATATCCAGTTTGCAACTATCTAGACGGGTGACACTTTGCTCACAGAGTGGTAATGTACGAGTGTGATGGGAAGGAATTAGACAATGAAGTCCACATCTCTTGAATTCCTCTATGCTACCAAGGCGCATAAACAAAATGTCAAATTCCAGCCCCAAAACAGGCATGAAAAGAACATCAAGGTGATGCTAGAAATGCTCAAATTCAGGATGAAAGCATCCAAGATAGCTGTAGTGCCTGTGGATGCAGAAGGGCTGCTGAGGCGCTGTTGGGGATGGTGAAGGTGGAAGGGAAGGCTGCTGTGGCTGGGTGTGTGGGGCAGTGGGGGCACCTCAATCCCCGGGGTGTGCCCCCAACCAGCTCCCCTTCCCCCTCTGGCCCCCCATCCTGATCATCTCCAGATGTTGGTGCTGCAGTGGGCTTTGACAGTGGCATGGGCCTGACCTCACAGTGTTTGCGCTTCGTTATTGTTCTGGCATGCTGTCAAAACTTCTCTGTAGAGCATGTCAAAAGGAACACAGTGATATTTTATTTTTTTTTAATAGATGATTCTTTGGCAAACTACGAAAATCATTTCATTGGAGAAGAAAAAATAATTGTTCCTCTTGCTGCGGGGCTTTCTTCCTGCACATTTCAAAGGCCTGCTGTGAATAATAGTGCTAGAGCTTCCAAAGTTCAAGGATATTTTATAGTGGAAAGTGTTAGGCAACCAAAATAAATACCAGTTTCCACTCTTAAGAAATTAAGGTCTTTCTTTATATTGTGCCTTAAAACCCATGATATAATCACTTTCTTCTTTTTTTTTGAGATGCAACACTATGTGTCCAAGAAGTCTGTTTTTTCATAGAGACACTTGCTTTGTTCTAACTTGTTTACATCTAAATAATAATTTAAGACAGAAAGAACATGAAGGCTTTCTCTGTGAGGAGAAATGTCACCCAAATTCATTGGCATCAAGGGCTGAACGAAAGCCTTAAATCCCAGTGGTGCCAGTCTTTAGGTTCAAAATAAATATTCCTATTTTATGGCTTGAATGCATCTCTACTTAGAAGATTTGTGAATATTTTTGACAAACCTGGTCTGAGTTTTCTGCTAGCAGAGTTACAGATGAGGCAAGTTTTCCATGGTTTGGGGTTTTATTGTGAATGCTTTGCACAGTGCTGGTTATGTGCTTCCTTCTCATGACATCAGTGCTGAAGGGGAGAAAGAATGTAAACATCTGTTTTTTATAATTCAATTCCAGGCTTGTAACTTGATTAGGATAAGCAGTGTTTCTACATGATTAATTTTCCAGTCACAATAAGATGTTTTGAGCACGGTTTTAGCACCGGTTTGAAGATTAGTAGAACAAGGGGAGAAACTAATGAGATAAGTTCTACTTCATGGTCTACTTTTCTGAGCTGCATCAGGTGCTGCCTGCCTCCCCCACCTCGCTCATCCCGCTGCAAACGAAGTGTACAAAGTGATGTCCACCCCAGGGCACGGTGCAGCCTCCGAGGGGAGGCTGGTGACAGCAGCTCAGAGGTGAGCTGGAGCCACGTGGATCTGACTCAAACATCTTCAAGGTCTTTTCCAACCAAAACGATTTTATGATTCTGTAATTTGGCTCCTGGGTTTCCCCCCTACCCCAGCCTTTTGTGTGGCATTGGGTCAGCCACCTAGGATCAGGTTTACAAAGGTATTTATGTGCCTGCTGGGACACAGCTGCACCTGAAATAACTGAGGAGTTCTTTAATCTCTTCCATCACCCGTGCAAGGTTAAACACACCAGGTGCCCACTTACCTTCTTTTATTGATTGTCTATTATTTTTCTTGTGCCAGAGATCACCTGTGCCTGGAGCTGTGGTCCTGATCCCGTTTTGGGGTCTTTTCTATCCACTTAGTAGTCACTGCAAGTGACTGTACAGGAGCTGAGGAAACCAGGCTGGAAGGGCCTCGGGAGGTCTGGCCTCTGGGTCAGGTGGCAGCTGCGGCAGCGCAACCCGAGAGAGAGAAGCAGCAGGGCAGGAGGGCACATCAGAGCTATTTCAGTCTCATATCACGCGTCTGTAACGATCAAACAACAAATACACTCATCTCTCCTCCTCGGGCTGACCACGGTGCTCCACCTTCACCTTCTGCAGGTGGGTGCCCAGCCCACAGGTGGGTGCCCTGCCCTCAGGTGGGTCCCCAGCCCCTCAGGTGGATGCCCAGCCCCACAGGTGGATGCTCAGCCCCACAGGTGGATGCCCTGCCCCTCAGGTGGATGCCCAGCCCCTCAGGTGGGTGCTCAGCCCCACAGGTGGATGCCCTGCCCCTCAGGTGGATGCCCAGCCCCACAGGTGGATGCTCAGCCCCACAGGTGGATGCCCTGCCCCTCAGGTGGATGCCCAGCCCCACAGGTGGATGCTCAGCCCCACAGGTGGATGCCCTGCCCCTCAGGTGGATGCCCAGCCCCTCAGGTGGGTGCTCAGCCCCTCAGGGGGGGGCCCCGCCCCA